GCTCATGATACAGAGGGGACAGCAGTTAGGATAGGTACACATGAGGCTCATGACACAGAGGGGACAGCAGTCAGGATAGGGACCCGAGGCTCATGACACAGAGGGGACAGCAGTTAGGATAGGTACACATGAGGCTCATGACACAGAGGGGACAACAGTCAGGATAGGGACCCGAGGCTCATGATACAGAGGGTACAACAGTTAAGATAGAGACACACGAGGTTCATGACACAGAGGGGACAGCAGTCAGGATAGGGACCCGAGGCTCATGATACAGAGGGGACAGCAGTTAGGATAGGTACACATGAGGCTCATGACACAGAGGGGACAGCAGTCAGGATAGGGACCCGAGGCTCATGATACAGAGGGGACAGCAGTTAGGATAGGTACACATGAGGCTCATGACACAAAAGGGACAACAGTCAGGATAAGGACACATGAATCTCATGATACAGCTCCCTGTGTACATCTGCATGTTACGCTACACTGGTCTGATGACAGTTTTTCCATGTAAGCAGATTTTCCTCCTCTTGAGGTACCATCCATCCATAATGTTTACACTGTAGGGTTATGTCTGGATTCATGTTTACATCAAAGTGTTGTATCAAAGCCCACTGAACCAAGTCTGAACTGTGAGTACTAGCTAATCTAACGTAATCATTGACCATTTCAAATGACTGCTCATTTAAAGGCTTCCCACCTTTTGGTGAATTATCAAAAATAATCAATTAATTAATTAGCACCTATCAAAGAATAAGCCATTGTGTGTTTGTGTCTGTGTGTGTGTGTGTGTGTGTGTGTGTATGTTAGGTTTATATTACATCGTTATAGGTTATATAAAACCTATTATTTTGATATTGTGGGATCCCCACAAAGATCTCTGAATGCAATCAAAAAACAAAAAATGACAAAAGTATCATATTTTGTTTGGTTATTTATGATTAAGTTTAGGGCTGGGTAGGGGTTAAGGTTGTCATGTTGGGATTAGAGTTTTCCCCATAGAAATGAATGAGAGCCCCCCCACAAAGCAGGGGCTTGAGATCATGGCAGATACTAAGGACATTACACGTTACGGGCAAGACAGCACATCCAAATGATGCTTATTCTGAATAACCAAATATAACACAACATAAATATAAACTAAATGTAGTGTACACAAAGTTCCATAAGGCATCATATTGAGCATTCTATAAATCACTGTGTAAGACATACTAACAAAAATTTGTACTAGATTTTATGGGCAAAATTGCTTCCATATTTTGACGTCAGGTATTAAATGATATGTGCGTCCTCAGTAAAAATGCTTAATATTACAACAGAGCATCAATAATCTCTTCCGTCATTTTCCATTTCCATTTATCTCACCATTAGGTTTTATTACATTCTGTCGTCGTTTTACATCTATCCTGTTCATTCAGGTGCTGTAAACATGTAGCAAAAGGAAACTGACTTACAAACTGATTTCTGATCCTTTATCATTGATCTTGCATTATAAAATACATTCCTTCCTGCAGTGGATTGCGCTGTCACACGCCTGAGAGGTGTAAGGACAATTATCTCAGAATTGTACGGGAATAAGAGATATCCCAGGGAGTCCTGTCACTGGCTAAAGGATTTAGGCTTAGGACACTCGTTTCGTGGTGGAATTCGAGTGTCTCAAACCTGACACGATGTAGTTATGGCCAACTTGAGTAAAACTATATAATCACAGCATAACAGGATGTCAGGCTGGACTGGACAGCACTGGAACAGCAGAATGAGGGAACAGAGGAGAGGCAGGAGTGATGGGAGATGGGAACAAGGTGGGGGGGGGGGGGGGGGGGGGGGGGGGGGGGGG